ATGCATTTTCAATGAAAAAAACCTTTTTGGTTTCCACTTCATCATTATAAAATGAATGTGAGAAACTTACGAAGAAACGAAGAAAGTAATTAAATGTTATAAAAACTCTTACTTTACAAAAATGTCTATATCTTGTGCAGGAATTTCTTTCAGTATCTGAGCCAACTACTTTCTACAATATATAAACATTGAATCATTCATCTCTTTAGCTTGTTCTTCAAATCAGAACCTTCACAAAATGAAATTACTTCAAACGAAATTCCTATGGCTGGGATTAGATTAACCAACCTTATGAATGTATAACTTGTGTTTTTGTTTCACATCAATTTTTTTATATATTATATTTCCAGCGTTCCTATGAATGATATCCGTTCCATTAAGGATATTTTGAGTACAAATTTAATAAAAACAGTGATTTCCATATAATATACTGTTTATGTCTGAATGTAGTTGTTATAGATAGACTTTACTTTCCAGTACGTATCTGTGAGCAACTTCTGTGGATGATTCATATATTTTTCAAGGAGTCTATACAGAATTCAATTACTTTCTTCATTTTTTCGGGTGTTTCCCAATTTTTTTATATTATGATGACAAAGAAGAAAGCAATAAAACTAATCTCTCCTAAAATAGTCTCTTCTCATTCAGAACGAATTCAAATCTCATGTTGTTATAGGCTTCAAAATAACAACTTCTATACTCATAATTTCTTCACTTCAGCTTTCACCATCTATTTTTGAGGTTTTTCTTTTAGTTAATATCAAATCAAAGTACCTGTTGACAATAATGAACTTTCAAAACGATAAAATAGAGCTCAAGTTCGAAAGAAAGAAGAATTATTTATTGAACCACACGTTTCAAAGTTCATTCTTCGAAACAGAAAACAGTTGTGTACCCAATGAAGGACGAGGTATTTCATCCTGATACATCTGGTGTAAATATTGTGTGATAGAGTTTTGGTCGTCTGCTCTATAGTTTGAAGGATCAGTGCGGAATAGTTCTGCCTAAACTATATTTATTCAAAATGGTTTATCATTTGCAACATTATTTCCTCGGATTAATTTTATCTCAGAAACAATGGTAAAAATTTGTGTATGTCTCACTAGAAGAAATAAAACTCCACCTCTCATACTCTCATTGCTCACAAACAACTGCAGATTATTCGTGAACAACAGTACCATCCTCAATAGTCAATTTCGTTCCCAATATCCGTGATTGGAAAAATATGTCTCTGTTCTACGAGAACCGCTGTTGTTCAACAAGAACTTTGAATTCACACCAGTCAAATAAATATCACACTATATTTTATAACGAAGTGATTTTTATATGAACATTCAGACATTTATATAACAATCAAAGTCGAAATCTATAAGATCTACAGATTCTACAGGCATCAAAGAAACATGAGGGACCAAAGACAATCTGTTGTTAACGCAAACATCGACCACCAAATAAAAATAGCTTTCTATCAGTCTGCAATTTTCACTCAAAGCAAACAACTAGATAAATTCAGAGTCGACAAGATGTCTGATAAATGTTGTTTCTCAGCAATTAATGTTGAATCACAGTTTTGTAACATTATTCATCAGAAACATCATTCTTCGCAGATGTAAGAGAGGTAAGTAGATCAACGTAACGTAACCCTTTGTGATTCTCCTTGTTAATTCCTTTTGAAATTCATTCAAATGTCAATCCATGAAAGTTTAAAGCATCGTTATAAGTAAAAAGTGGATAACGCATTCAACAAAGAGATTAAAAAATTATTACAGAAGAAATAAGAAATACAGTCAGGTCGATAAAAGAATACACATTCGTCATCAATGAAAAACGCAAAAACTATATTTTTATATAGCATCATTTTCTTCCACGAGTGAAAAAAACGGAATCGTTCAGTCATTGTTGAGACTTCGAGATAAAACCTTCGTTCTCGCAGTCAACGCACGTACCACTGATGATGTCCGCTGCAGTAACAGACGAAATGTTTAGTATTCAACCACGACCTAACAGCCCAGATTTTGTTTTTTCTCATCGTGTCTCCTTGAAAGTCTATGTTCTCATAATTAACGTTTGCGTTTAATAAGAGAGACCTCATGTTTGGATGATAACATGCATACAGTACATCGAAGCGAGAGATAGATATATCAGCCTGAATCGTCGACAGTTTCTTAGATTTTGAGACCAATTTATGACGTATAGTATCGTTTGACAATTCAAAACTAATGAACTGTGGGCATTTCATATTTCACACCAAGGCCGGAAACATGTAGCCAACAAGTTAACATTGCATGCAACATAATTTAGAGATATTTGGCGCATGCGTATTAGCTTTATCAAAAAAAAATCTGTTCAAAATCTGTTTTTCTGTTAACCAGCTGTCGTACCCCTAGGAACGGCAACCCTCAGAAGTCGAAACTTGTGGACGATAAACAATATTTTAACTTCTCAGTTAATGTTAATGCTTATGGTAATTCAGGCTATATGTTTCAACCCTAAGTAAATGTCACACAACATAATTTGAAAAGTGCTGATGAATAGGGCTTTGAATATTAGTGGATTTGAAAAATAAAAGCAATTCTTCATTAGATTGTTTAGAGCAGTACCCACTTCGTTCAGTTTTCATTAGTTTGTCGACTCGTATCGGATGCACAAATCAATGAGGGATGTGTATTTTTTCGTCGTATAAATAATAATTCAAAAGTATTATTATCTTGCCAATATGACCGTATCATAACTCATTCACTATCTTTCTGCCACTGTACAAGAGTTCCATTCCGTTTATTATCAGTTTTGTCTTGGTCCCTGAATGCTCTTGGGCGCACTAAATTCACCGTTACCTTTTATATTGTTTACCGCAGTTGTAGACAAAATGTTCGGCATGAAAACCAACCAACCTGAAAAATAGCTCGATGCAATACAAGACTAGTGATTGAGGATTAGTGACATCAGAAACTTTGAAGTCAGAATAATTATAAGCACATATATTTGCTTACAAAATGTCAGTTTTGATAACGCGGCATCAACTAAGCACACTTGTCAAACAGTTGCCAACACAAAGAACATATGGATGTTCGATTCAACTCGTGATATCCACAATACGACTCTACTTCTCCAGTTCGGGAGATATACGGGAAAAAATAAAAAATTCGAAATCATTGTTTTTTATCAGGAGTCCGATAATAACCCAAACAAAAACGATAATTGCAACTCTTTATTTACCATAACTGTTTCTAGAAAAACTATTCAACATTCGATTTTCATTTCAATAAAAAAAAGCAGTATTATATTTCTGGTACTGTTATTTTCACATCCCCGGAACCTTCTTCATGTTTGTACCGTCGGTTACATAGATGACTTCTTCGTAAGAAAAAATGTCATTGCCTTTTCTAACTAGAGGGTATGGCGTAATTTTTCCTAAACACCGATTCGTATTTTTCATATTCTTCCGTTAATTGAACACCATGACAGTCGAAAGAAGAGAGAGACAAAAAATAAATTCAAGTCCATCAACTAAAAGTTATTTGAAAATATCAAGGACGCCTCCATTTATTGCTTGATTCTTTTAACTAAACATGTTTTGTCAAAGAATTTCTAGATAATCATCTGTAAATAATCATCATCTTCCACCCCAGTAATCATCATGAACGTAATAAAAAAAAATCACCTGATCATCTATACAGGCAAGAATGGTTCATATCGGATGCCACTCTTTATAGAAGTTTTATAAACATGATTGATGGTCTATTAAAAGTACTTGCGGCAAAGTAGGTATAACAATAATAGAATTTGGCAATATTTCATTTTTTAATTTGGAATCCAAAAGATCTTGGTATCATCCAGGATTATTTGTAGTTAGATATAGACAACTCACTACCAATTTATTCAAACTTCTATCTCCTTCCGGACCAAAAAAGTTCTTTTTTTTCTGATTGATTCGGCCGTTACTTGATGAAGATCCATAGTAATTTCAAAAAGTACACCTCACGATTTGAGAAAGCTACTGTGCTAGCGAAACATGTTGTGATATATTTTTTAAATAAAGTTTGTGGAGATCAAATCGTGAGGTGTAGTTTTTGAAAATCAAAAAAGGGCTAATTTCAACTTTATAAGGTGTGAATAGTTGCTGAGAAGTCGGCATTGCTAATCCAGTAACGTAATTTTGCAAAAAAAAGACTGGTAAACAATTAGACACTCAACAAATTGATTCACGCACCTAGAGAAATCGTGATAACTAGTATGCCCCCAGTATTTTGAAGTCCGTTTCCGCTACATTCACCCTCTTAGAATAAGTGTGATTCTTGGTTTTTCGTAACATTACACTCTACACGGTTTTTGTCACCCTAAATTTTTTGCCATATCAACATTGAAATAGGAAACCTCTTTGGAAAGAAATGTGTGTTGTCAACAAATTGAAAAATTGAATCGTTAATTTCAAAGGGGATTGATTCAATATGGACCCCTGGAAAATGTTGACGGTATAGGTATTCGATAGAAAGCCATCGATGGCTACTTGTCAGAAATGTTATTTGAAAAATCTGCATCTACTTTTCCAGCAACATCAGTAGTTGATGTTGCTGGAAGAGTAAGAGTAAGAGTGGTTGAACCTTTAACAAAAACTATCATGGTAAACAAATTCTAAATTCTGTTAAAAGCTTGCAGATTCAGACCTCAAACCATTTCAGGATACGATATATTAAAGCAACTAATTTTCAATATTTTTTTAAAAATCCTGTCCAATATGAGGATCATTCCCTCTTTTTCAAAAGTGTTTGTCAATTAATCTTATGTGATGGAAATAAACATCTGAACGTTGTAATTTTGATATTTTTTTCTAGTATATTCAATCGATGCCATATTCCCTCTACTATAATCACCATAGTACTTAAAAATTACTAGTCACCACAATCAAATTTTAATGCTACGATCAAAAACATTCCCTGTAGAAAAATTTTCATTATCCAATTTAGAAGCAATATACTTCAAATATAATGTATTTGCTATTTCATCTCAAAAATAACAATTTGAATGATATCAGTATTTTCTTTTCGAAATTGGTTCAACACGTGTATTAAGTAATTTAACGACGTGGTACTTTCTTTTCTTCGATTCTACAGGTTTAACTTTCACCAATTTTGTTTTCGCATAGATTCCTCTTGTAGGCGGAGGAGTTTCAGTTGCATTCTCTCCATAGTCGTAATAATCAAGTTCACCAAGATATCCAACGCTCTGTTTCTGCACAACGATACATCTTTTTGATCTGCTCAAAGAGGGTGATTGATCAGTGTCACCTGAAACATTAATATCTATGTTAAGTTCATTACAGATACAAAACCTAATCAAATGATAAACAGGCACTTTCGCATTTGACATGGCGGTGAATGGACGTGTCGACAATGACCATTCACAAAAAAGATATGTGAACGTTTTTGTTGGAGATCGAAGTCGGATTATGTTGTGAATGTACGTGCGTTGCAGATATAACAGCACCTCCATTCACGCCAGTTGGAGGCCGGAGTAGATCGGATTTCCACGTGGCAGTGCTAACATTTAACAAGAAGAAATTAGGATGGCTGGAGCCTCCCAATGGAAGAAGGTAATTAATTGTAAGTAGTTGAAAGAAAAATAAGTTACGTGTAAGTGTAGTACCTATTCAGAACACGAGGCTGACAAATAACCGAAGCAGTCGAAGTCGTTATAAAGAGCACAGTATTTAGTCTAATCAACAAGTTAAAAAACATGAAAAATAGAGATAAAGGTCCTAAAAATATGAGCGATAGCTCAATCGATTCGGAATCACCTCTAGAAAAATGTTTTTGAAGGATTTTGGTGCAGGTAAAAAATTGCAATTGTTATTAACAAAATAAGATTGAAAAAAATGGTATTTAGTTTTTCGTTAATAACTCAAAAAATATTAATATTTAAGCAATTTTGAAAAAAGCTCGTTAAAGAGGAGAAAATTTCCGATAAAGAAGTCCCGAGTCCAGAAACTCTATTTCCATTATTTACAATTTCAATATGACGTTGAAAATAGTGTTCCGCGCGGCTGTTACGGCATGAGCGCGCTGCCGCTAAAGAGAGTTTATCAAAATAAATAATTTTTTATAACATAAAATGTCATTTTAAAAATTTAAAAAAATCTAGTATCTTCTTAACACTTGAATGAATCGAGTCCCGTAGAAAAAAAAGTTTTATCACCATTTTTCAAAAAGTTATTCAATTGTTAACTAACAAATTTTTTCCCAATCTTCATTGGCACATAAATAATGGGATGAAAGGTATAAATAATTGGCCTATAAATTTTAAACTTCGTGGAGCCCTTTTGATATATATATACTTCATACGATCCTGCGATAAAAGTTCAGTACGAATTTATTGGTACAGGAGCATGAAGAAATATCCTCTCAGTTATCACGTGTTAGGAATCACACGTTAAAAGGTAAGACCTCGTTAATCCTTAGCTCGCACAAGTTTCGACTTCTGAGGTTTGTCGTTCGTAGGGGTGCGACAGCTGGTTAACGGAAAAACAGATTTTAAACAGATTTTTTTCAAACAGATCTCAAAGGTGCGATTTCGTTTTCTCCTTTTCATAAAAGAGGACGTATGCCCAATACAATTCTTATCAATTTTGCTTTAACTCCAAAATAAAGAACGTATCAATTAGACTACTCTGTTATGATGATAGTTCTGATTAGTGGAGTTCTTGGTGGAATGATGCTCTCTCTACTCTTGAATCTTGAGATCATACCGGCTGGTAGCATAAAGGAAAAAATCTTGGCCGGACAAATACAAAAGGCTGCTATTTTTAGCTCATTACGTCTAATTAGGAAACATCGTTTTCCATTGAATGTTGATGATGGGCATCTCTAGTATCGGAGCTTCGAAAAAGAATGCTCGACAGAATCAATCGATTGTCTTCTTGTAAACTTTTCGAATTCAATCAAATTCTTCTTCAGCACTTGAAAACAAGTTTTTCCATATTAGAAAATGACCTTTTCATAAATCATCAGACATATTGAATGTATTAAAAAATACTCTGGTAATAACATTTTCGAAACCAACACTATTCAAATGATATTTGTGTATTATTATATTTTCAACATGGAAAAACTCTTCGAGCCCTGAATGAAGGCTAGAAAACAATTGTCTCTTCGAAAAAAAACAATCCTGTTAAGCAACAAACATTTTCGGAAAGAATAATGATAATGTATTTCTTTTTCGCATCATTTTCCGCTTCTTCATTTTTCTAAAGATTTCACGTTAGAAAGAAATAAGTTAGCCAACTGAACTCGGGTGACTAGTAGGTACGTGAGTATAATTTCAAGAAAAAAAAAGGATTCATAATCGGAATAAACTATGGAAAAATATATCTGGTTTTCGTAAATACCAGAAAACGTAAATAAATTCTATAAAAAACAAATTCATTGAATGTACAAAGAATTATTTCATAGGTGCATGTTGGATGAACCAATGTAATATATTTCAAAGTGTAAATTCAAAGTTGATTAGAAGTATATATTTCAGGTTTAGATGTTTGAAATTTTTATAGAAACCGAAAAAAATCTGAAATCTGTATCAGCAATTGACACAATCCCATTTTCTCTGATTATTTTTGCTAAATATCAGGTTATTTTTTCAAAGACAAAAACACATTCACTACAGGAAAATACTTAAGGTGATCTAAGAGCGGTGCCTGCGCGAAAGTAGCTATTCACATTGAATTTGAATCGCTAGAGGTCAAATCCATTTGGAAAAACGTTCTCAGGAAGTTTATTTCACATAAACGCAGTTCTCCAAATGAAAGAGTTCTTAAACAGTGAAGTTCGAGGTGTACTGAGTCGATCCTCAAAACGATGATCAGCCACAGTCGTTCGCATGTTACTGATATGTACCGCTTTTGGTGGAATCAACTGTGCCAAGTCACTTGAAAACTTCCCGTGGAAGTATCTATAAAAGAGAGATAAATCCCCAACATTTTTTCGATGTTCCAGACTATCAAGGTTGCAAGTGGTGTTCGCGTCTCCGATCAATCGGATGGCTCGAAGACCCTAAGTGGAATGGCGGAAGAACTGGGCATCAGCTCTCATACGATTTTTTGATGGTTTAAAACGTATTGAAAAGGTTAAAAATCTCGAAAAGTTGATGCCTCACGATTTGATCCACCGACAGAAATTGTCACGTATCGAAGTCTGTTTTTCGATTTTGCTCAACCGAAACAACCCTTTTTTGGATCGGATCGTCACGTGTGAGGAAAACTGATCATCTACGATAACAGGAGATGTTCAACACAGTCGTCTCACACCGATGAGCCACCCAGGCACTTCCTGAAGGTGAAAACCCATCAAAAAGACCATGGTTACTTCCTGCAATTGGGTCAAACCGTCACAGAAGAGTGCTATTGTGATGAAATCGACAAAACATACCGAAAATTGCGTCAGCAGCAGCCGGGACTGGGTAATAGAAGAGGTCCGAGCATGTTCCACGACAACACCTAGCCGCACGTTCCACAGATTACCGTCCAAAAATGAAACGAATTGGGCGTCGAAGTTCTGCCTCACCCACCATACTTCTCAGATCTCTAACCAGCCGCCTACCATTTTTTGAAGCACTTCGATAACTTTTTAAAAGCTTTTATTTAACTTGACTTGTATGTATGTTAACAAATCTTGCAAGTTTAATTTGACCCACTTCCCGATATCTGATTGACCTGAAATTTTGCATGCTGGTCCAGAACCGATGGCAATGCATGTTAATCATAAATGTGACCTGATGCTGCTGCCAGGATCGGCTCCGTACGAAAGATCTCCCCAGCGGTAAATAGCAGGGAGACGAAATTTTGTATACGCATTCGTTTATGATAGGCAATTGGTAAGCCCACCATGAAATAGATGCCACATCTAGGGTTGGCTTCAATAAAAAAAATATATGTCTAGAAAAAAAAGTTTTTACCGTTGAATACCTACTTCCCGACTCTAAAAAGAAGACAATAAATGGTAGAACCTATAAATGTAAGAAACTATATCTATTCGCATTGTAAAAAAATATTATCATCTACCACCCTCTAAGTTCCCAGAGTAAGAGGGTCCATCACGCAATGTGAGCAACAGGCACAAGAGGCATACCATGACTTGTGTAATTTGGTGAGATGGTCGTCATTAGCATCTTTCACCAAATTACCATCCAAGTCAAGGTGAAGCCGTGCCGAGGACTGAATGGCATCAGGGTGTGAAATGATGTCGTGAACGTACCACCTCAGGGCACCGGAGCGCACCCTGTTGTATATTAGCTCTTACCCTGCTTAACGAAGCTCTGGGAGGGTTGACAAATATTTATTCGGTACTCGTGTAATTTGTAATTGAAATTTTGTAATTAGGTAGGCACCTACTAAACTTGTAAGCAATTCATAATGTTTGTAATTAAATAAAAGTGCCGTGAATGCTTCAAATGTGGAACTTTGAGCTTGAATAACTTTTTTGTACACATAGGATTTATCGGGTTTGAAATTCATTGCAGTATCTAGTTGATCTATCAGAATGTTTCTTAATTTAAATTTCATCTGACTGAATAGTTAGAGATTTCTTCTCGGCATAGCGACAAGCTTTTATTATAATTTCAATTCTGTAAAGTCATAAATGAATGTGGTTAATGTGATTTGAAATTTAATTTTGATCTTTTTAGGGCACTTAAATAAAAGCTTGTTTTAAAAGTTTTTTATCATTATTTTATTCATCTGTAGAATCTTCGCCAATCAGGACCAGACAAAAACGACATTGATTGAAAATGCGCTTATGTTGATTAAGTTGATCAAGTATTCACTGAGATATTACAGTTTGAAGTTAACTCATAAAAACCGGCAAATATTTGGAAACAACCTAATAATATACTATGCTTACAAAATTAACTACGTTCTTTGAAATGATATGTTCTCAGTACCACTTGTATTCCAAAATCAGATGACCAAATTTGTGAATAGAAATGTAAACTTGTAAACAGACGTCACAACTTGATGAATAATTACTGGCATTCAGTAGGTCAAGGGGGCAGGGGGGAGCAGTTGCCCCCCCACCCCAGAGATCAAATGTAGCTAGCCGCAAAGCGACCAAAGTGCGAGCAATTGACTTCCTTACCTATTAATAAATTCCGCATCGCATGACAAAACATAAATAAATTCACAAGGTTTAATGTATATTGTAGAAAGTATTGAAATATTCAGAATAACATTAAGATTTTGACATCTGTTTTTAAAATCGCCGCCATTATCATCACGACTATATCAAATTTGCCATTAAAC